TGAATGCTGCCTTGAATTAGCTGTATGACTTTTGAGAAATAATTTTATCCCTTTGCGTCTCAGTTTCTGTATCTATAAAATGGGAAGAGTAGTAGCTCTTACCTTACATTATTAAATTAAATGATACATGCGTGTAAAGTACTTAACAGTGGCTGCCAGGTTTTTAGTGAGTGTTGAATACTGTGGAGTATTATTACAAATGATCACTCCATAATCTAGGCTGAAGATGCATACTTGGGGGTCATGAGCAAGTGACAGGTACTGAAGCCAAGGAAGGATGAGAACACCTAGGGAGAATGTAGAAAGAAGGCCCAGAGGTGTGCTGAGTGTGAAAGGGAAATCTGCCTGAGTGAACGTTTCCATTTATTTTCCATGAAATAGAAAATCCATAGCAATGGAGTTGACAATATTTCTGTCATCCTCAATGAAATCTTAATCTTGAATATAACTTTGTAAATGTAAAATACCTTTAAGAAAACAGTTCCTACCCAAGCATCAGAAGCAACCAACTAAAATACCAATCATAAATTATTTTGGATATAAAACAACTATAGTTCAAGCTACTCCTCTGTACTTTTAGAGAAAGGAAATAAATATAAAGCAATAAGCAAGTAGAGTTAGTCCTTTTTATGGATTTTAAATAAATCTTATCTGTGATCTTGAAACAAGTATTAGACTGGAAGGAAGAGAGTAACATTCTTTTGTTACATAGCTACATGTAGCAATATATGTGTAGAGAGAGGTGAAGTTTTTGGTATACAGACAGATTTTTAATTGGTTTGTGGGCAAGCTGAATCAACACTTGATACAATTTACATAAAGTATCATAGGACTCCATATGCAAAATTTAAATTGCAAGAAAAGAATCAATCAGGAAGAAAACACACACAAAACATGCTATTTAGTAATGCTATTGGAATGCTAAGGAATTTGAACCAACAGTGTTAAGAAAGGCTAGGAAGTGCCTTAAAGGAGACTTGGCAATATAAGCCACCCTTTTACAATGGATTCCATGATCTGTGATTTGTCTTCATTTTCTTGTTACAAATTGGTAATTGGACTCAGGAATATTGTGAGGTCTTTATCACTAGGACATCTATTTAGCAGTCATTTATAAGTGTTTGTTATGTACCAGGCACTCTGCTGACTGCTAACATACAAAATTAAACAGAAGCTTTTCACATTGACCACTGCAATGAGAACCAACTTCCCAGAATTCAACATCTTCCTTTTGCAAAAATACCCTGGGGGTGACAAAAATAATACCTACCCAAGTTTTATTCATTATTGCACTGACAAGTTTCCTACGATGCTACCCATATAAGGGCCAATTCAGTTAATTATTGTGTAGGTAATTCTCCAAGCAAGATGATCAAGTGCTCGCTTTAAACTGGTTTTGAAAGTTCTGTCCTTACAAATAGATCAAAAACCCTCTTTAATTCAAACGTGCCTCCTATCTTATGACTGACTACTCATCTCCTCTCCATCATTTATAGACAAGCCTCCTGAGGGGGGCCATCCATACGCCTAGCTCACATGGCCTGTGACTTTTTCTGGTCCTTTTCAGGATCCAATTTTCATCTGTCACCCTAGTCCTTACCTGATTGCCTAGCACGGCGGTGGCACAAGCTGTGGACACCTCCTTGGGCCCAAACCACACTGAGGCAATGCGGGAGGGCAGGCCTAGGATGAACACCTGGGCCACCGAGCACAGGGACTGGCCCAGCATTGTGACCCAGAAGAGATGCTGTTGCACACTGCCGCACTTGACCCAGGCGCCCAGGCAGTTGAGGCCGGAGCCCAGGAGGGCGGTGAGTCGCAGGCCTCTGGTGTCCAGCAGCCAGGTGGCCGGGAAGATAAGGGGCACGTAGGCCAACATGTACACCATGGACAGCCAGTCGATGTGCAGCAAGGAGACGCCATAGAAGCCCTCGAAGACGTTGCTGATGATGCTGTACTGGATCCATTGAAAGGAGTTGACGAGCGAGTACAAGCTGAAAATCAGGAGCACCACAAAGCGCCGCGCGGAGAGCGCCGTCCGGGGCACCTGGACGGTGCCCTCGGGCCCTGAGGTCTCCTCCCCGGGGCCCGTGGGCAGCAGCCGAACCTGGATCTCCTCTTCCGGGGCCAGCTGAGTCTGCGGCCTGCCCACGGCTCCCGAGGCGGCCGNGGTCATATGCTGGAAACCAACAGTTATCAGGGAAGAAAAGTTAGTAGGGAGACAAATGAGATGGATTAGTCTTCAAACCCTTTATGATAGTGAAACAGATGGACCATAACATAGCCCTAGCGCTGTAGCATTCACTACCTGAGCAAGACAGTGCTACGGCAAGAATGAAACAAGCAAACGGCAATTGAAATAGCACTAGAAGTTTTCAGGGCTGGTTATCTTCCTTGGCATATGTCTGTCATGCATTTATCTATTTAAGCTTTAGGGAAGATGATTCACTTACCAATTATTGTTAAAATAAATAAAAGTGTGGCGACAGCTGACGTTCCATAAAACATGGTACTGATGTTTCGAGCCAGAAGGTCTGTGTTATTCTGTGTGTTGGGCACTAAAACTGGTGGTAGCAAAAAGCCAACTGCAGTTCCAAGCTGTAAAATAAACAGTCCTGTTTACAGCTATTATTAGCAGAGAAGAAAAGTACATACTGACAATTAATACAAAATAAGGAGAACAGCCAGGTACTTCCGTAAACTCGAAAGCACCGTGTTCTGATGTCTTTCAACAATTGTACTGTTACAGAGAAACTGCTGACAAATGTATTCCTTATTCAATACACATTCACTGAGCTCTCTCAATCTTAATGATGCTACTACAGAGTTGTGTAAGATACAGTCCTTACCCTTTGCATGCTTACAATCCAAAAAGGAAATCAGAATATGTAAAATGTGACTGAAAAAAGACAACCTATAGATTGGGAGAAAATATTCGCAAATCATATATCCGATAAGGGTCTACTATCCAGAATATATAGAAAACTCTTTCAACTCGGCAATGAAAAGACAAACATCCCAGTTCAAAATTGGGCAAAGGACTTGAACAGACATTTCTGTAAAGAAGGTATACAA